TCTCTCTCTCTCTCTCTCTCTCTCTCTCTCTCTCTCTCTCTCTCCAGCACGCGTGCGAGCACACACACACAGTTCTAAACTGTACTAACCTACGAGCCTATCTCATCCACACCGACACAATCATCCAATTAGCAATCCCCACATCACAGACACACGGATGATGCTGCCTCTCACATCAGGCCCCTAATCAGCCGTGCAATCATCGCGGCCAGAACTCCTCCCCTCCTGTCGGCCTCTTGGAAAGCAGACGCTTGGACAATTTTCGACATTGCAAAAAGTCTCTCCCTCTCTGCATTGAGAGCAAGTTTCAGCCGCTCGTTTGTTGTCAAGACCATAAACTGTGCCTCCAAGTCCCTGTCTTTGGACCGGTGGCCGAAGTTCGAGCTTCCTATGATGGTCAAACTGGGCAGCTCCTCTTGTGCTAAGTGGATCCAAAGGCCCTTAGCATGGAAAGTCCATCCTGCCCTTTCATACTCTGAAATCCTAACCTTCCAGCAGAAGGTGTCATCTTCTGCGATCTGTGTAAGAAGGTCACTCGCGACCACCTTATTGGAAGACATCATTCCACTCGCTACACCGGGCTTTGCTCCCAGTTGAGAAGTGGGGTCGGTCAAAGGTGCTGACGAGCGGGCTGATGACGAGCAGGATGCACATCCATTACTTGACTCGGCTTTCAGCAACCGGTTACTCCGGCTGAGTGACGAGTGATTAGCTGATTTCATGCTTCGGCTTAGACCTTCCTTCCGGACTCTCTCATACAAGTGCTGCTCGATCAACGAGTATGCAAGCGGAATCAACCCTGAAATCCCCTTTGAACCATAGAAGCCATTTGCCTGTGCAGCAAATCCATCAGAGGTGCGTCATTGAAGAGCTTATGGCCAGAGTTTCATAAGAGATGTTAAGTGTGATCTGCTGCTTTGTTTGTTTGTTTGTTTGTTTGTTTGTTTGTTTGTTTTAACAAGAAAAAGAGAACCTCAAACTGCCACCCTTGGCGAAAAGGATAAAATAATATTAAAATGATCATTAGATTCATTACCTTTTATAATGTCATGATAATGCACTTCCAAACTGCCACCCTTGGTGAAAAGGATAAAATAATATTACAATGATCATTAGATTCATTACCTTTTATAATGTCATGATAATGCACTTCATTTCCATGGAACTTGGAACACAACAATCAATTTCACTCCACAGAGATGTTATAATGTGCTCTTGCAGGCAGACCACACCAGCATGGCTTTCTCATAATTGTAAATTTATGACTGAAATTATTAAAGTTGATGAATTGAAAAGGTTCCACCATTGTCCTTCGGGACATCCGTTAAAATTGGAATGATACAGAGAAGATTAGCATGGCCCCTGCTCAAGGATGACAAAAGAAAAAAAAAAAGAAAAGGTTCCACCTTACTGAAAAAGTGAGGACACGCAGAGCTTAATTACAATTTGAAAAGATATGCAAAGGTTTCTCAACGTCTGCATCTATGGCTACTGGCAAGAACGACAAGCAGGTCTCTCTCTCTCTCTCTCTCTCTCTCTCTCTCTCTCTCTCTCTCTCTCTCTCTCTCTCTCTCTCTCTCTCTCTCTCTCTCTCTCTCTC